GTTTCACTGCAGAAGAATACCTTGTCAGTGAGTTTTTTGAACTGCGTCCATGCATCTTCTTCAGGTTCTGGTTCAGCCGCTGGTGGTGATGGAGGTCTTGGTGATGGTGGACCAGGTCGAGGAGGAGGACCCGATGGAGAAGATGCAGGCGGAGGTCGAGGTGGAGGGAGGTGAGTTGCCGCAACTGAAGGTATAATGTTGGATGGCAGAATTCCTATAAAAAAAGTTAAAGATTCAAACCTTGCTCATCACCAGCTCCAGTCCGAGGATACTTCGGAGGTGCAGGTCTTGATGGTGCCGGAGGCCTGGACGGTGAAGGTTGTTCAGTTATTTGACTCGTAGAACCGTCAGCATGAGATTCATGAGCAGCAGCGTCCCATGCGTATGGATCCGATGGAGGGGCACTGAAAAATTAGTTTTTAAGTATGTAAATCTTGCAGGGTTCTGTGGAAAGCAGGAGGAGTTGATAGAGTGATCGGCGTTGACCAGCACCTTTTCGGGTGTCTCACACATTAAAGTGCCAATGAAAGTTCGGCACTATTTACCCTTTACATGCTACTTAATAAAAAGTAAATGCTGAAGAGGTAAAGCATTGGTCGTTGATTCAAACCTCTTGAGATAGGCGTCAGTCGCGATAATAGTAACTAACAGAAAAACTTTGAGAATGAAAAATCACTGACTTGGCTGAAAAATCGACAAGCGCGAAATATTGGGGGGGGGGGGGGTGTTGGAAGGAAAGAAGTAGCTTACCTTGCACTTTGCATCTACAATTAGGCAGGAGCCGAACAAGAGGCTGGTCCTCCTCCTGCGAGTTTACCCTCCGAATCTGATACGGAGCTGCCTCCTACGGATGGTAGAAGGCTTGGTTGGCCTAAACGGGAGCCCATACGAGCTTCAAGTTCTGGATCGCACGCGTGGTAAGCGAGCCATGGGTCTTTCATCTTGACCTCAGCAAAAGAAAATAAGAGCAGTAAATCAGGCGAATGCGTCCATTCAGCACTTTCCGAGTAATCTAGACCCTTCGGGGTGCCACACATGAAGGAAGTATTCTCTGTGACCTCCAAACCCCACTTTTTCCACAGCGCCCCTGGGTCTCTCCCCGCAACCAAGACTTCTTCCTAGCGAGACAATTTCTCTCTCAATGCAAAAATTTCGGCGTTTCTGCGGACGCATTTCTGCATTTCTCCCAATTCCGCTGGTCTGCAAATTCCACATCCGCACATTCCGCGGACGACCAGACGCGGAAAGAAACCAAACGCGGCCGAGTGGTCCCCCCTCCTTCGAGTCAGGGTACAGCATCGTGATGTGTGTGAAGTGGTGGTGTAGGTACGACCCCCCCCCCTCCTCCGAGAGAGGGTGTCAGTACGACCCTCCAACCTGAATGAGCGTCTCGGTACGAAACCTCCTTCCCCAACACCTACTATTTACCTACCGATTTCCCACATTTTCCAGTTTTTCACCCAAAAATTTTCCGTCGAGGAGGGGGGGGGTAATAGGCAATGTGAAACGGGAGAATTTCCTAGATTTCCCCAACTTCCTACCACTTTTTCCGGAACTTACCGAGAATTCCCTACTTTTAACTAAAATCCACAAAAATTTTGTTGTCGAGCGGGGGGCATATACTAACATGAAACAGGAAAAAAAATCAGAAAAAGCTAACAACCAAGAAAATTTTTCCCCAACGCAGCAAATTTCTCTCAAACCCACCAACTCGCCCCCTCTCCCAGCAACCAAATACGACCCCCTCCCCTCCCCAGCGGAAAAGTACGACCCCCCTATGCGTTTCACACAACGATGCTGTACCCTGTTTCCAGCTACTTCAGTCCTATCAACAAAGTATTGATAACACCTCACATTAACACTC